AAATGGACGGAAAATCTCGAAAGGGGCGTCCATGCAGAGAATGGCTGGATGACATAACAGAATGGTGTCAACGCAGTGGACATGACCTGTTCCACCTTGCGCAAGATCGACGGGCATGGAATAATCTGATCCCGTAAATGGTTGGCCCCAACGGGCGCTAAGCCTAAGGGACATGATGATGATGATTATTTGGAAGATAATTTTGTACTTTTTATTTTATTTGTTTTCATAAATATTCACATTTATGTAATGTTTCAATCATATAATCATCAGTTTCATTAATTAAATATTTTGCTTTAGCTTCATCATGTAATGCACCATTTGGATTAGATATTAAACGTCTTCGTCGTCTTAAATCATCTTCCCATATATCTAATTTCCAAAATGGATTTGAACTATTTAAATATGTTGTTTTATCATTAATCATTAATGATAAAAATTTTTCTTTTAAACGTGATGCATTTGTTAAATATCGTTGACGAGATGATTTTATAAAATGATCACAAAGTTCTTCTTCTTCTTCTTCTTCTTCTTCTTTACGCTTGGAACTTATTTGTGTACATAATTATTCAAATTTACTAGCTTTTCGAATATATTCGGCACACTTACGATTAAGAATAAAATCTGCTTCATTAGCAACTTTTATAATATGATCTTTACTTGCATGAGCAAGTAAACGTTCTTCATTAACAAGTTCAATAAATGCTAAACCAGCATGTTTCTAAGAAAAAATAAAAAACAAGAAACAAACTTATAGAAAGAAGTTTCTTAGTACACTTGCAGTGATACTCGAAGGTTTTCTTCTCTTGCTAATATCTCATGAGTGCGAAGGCTTGGATCACTTATCAAACGAACATTATCTCAATCGAAAAAGCGATTTCATACCTGAAGTAGTACTCGCATAAGAAACTCTCAAAAGGAGTCTAAAGCTTGTTATCTTCCGTACGTATCTAATGACTGTGCGTCCCACCCATTACTAGGAACTAGTGGATGAGAGCCGCAAAACTATTCATTTTAATCTTAAAATTACTGTTTTGTTAGAAAATATATGTGAATTTCACAAATATAAGTGAAATATGAAATTTTACTTGAAGTGAATTTTGCCATTCTTGTGAATATAAAAGCATAACAAGTTCAACAATAGATGCTGTTTCTTTCAAAGCATGTAAACTACTACCCATGTGATTCGAACCGGAAAAAAACCGTTCGGTATACCGCCGGTAGACCGTTCGGTATAATGTGCGCTCTACCGGCGGTTTTGCCGGTAGTTGCAAAAAAACCGGCGGTATACCGGCGGTTCACCGCCAGTATTTACCGGTAGTAACAAAACAACTGGTGGTATACCGGCATGATTAGGATACGAATCTACTGATCCTTAGTCTTAGGAATCTAAGAATAAATGTAAATTATCAAAGGCCGCAAATTGATTTAGTGAATCTATTTAATAAAAAGTCCTCTTACTTTTTTATTTAGACATGGAGAATTGTTTTTTGAGTGAAATTTAACTGTTTCAGAAAAGAATTTCAATAACGGTTACATTTCACTCAAAAACAACTTTCGATATATAAATGAAAACTAAGAGGCTTTTTAATAAATAAATTCACTAAACCAACTTGCAACCGATGAAAATTTACATTTCTTCTTTGATTTGTAAGACTTCGAATCGTAGATACGATTAGCAATGGTTGCTTCGTCTTCGTTTCGTTGTTTTGTTGAGTCGGTCATTTTCGAATTGATCTAAATAAAAGAAA